TTATTCAGTGGGTTTTTTTTGTTTGTTTTGTTTTTTTCTTTTAAAGCAAAGATTCTATAGAAGAATCCTGATCAAAAGGATACAGAACAGAATTTCAAATTCTCATGGACTCTAAACTTCGTGAAGCCATGGAGTCTGAATGAACCCCAAACTATTGCCCTGAGATAATCTTTAAATCAGAAATATCCCCTAAAGTCTTCTTAAAACCAAACAATAGTTTAGCTCAACTAGTGAAGAATGTCTACCTTGAAAATTGTGCTCTTTTAAGAACTATCTATACAGGATCAACCTGACAGCAGCAACCTGAAAGATTAGTTAGGAAACGTAAGGGGCAGGGAGTTTATGTTAACAGGAGAGGAACACTCAGCAAAGGAGGGTGAGAATGGTTGCACAACTGGAAGAATGTAAGCCAGGTCACTGAATTGTAGACGGAGAAACTGTTGAACTGGTCCATGTTTTGCTGTGTGTATTCTCAACAGTTACAAAAACAAAATATTTATGAAAAATCAAGAATCGTATTTTCAAATTTAATGGAATTGTGGAATTACTCCACAGTTATTAAGATTAGCAAAAGTAAAATTTACATCCCAGGAACAAAGTTAGCAAAAGGCCCAACATCTATCCTCTCTTATATCAATGTCAAGTCACATCCTGCATTTGCATATTGTCACCATTGTACCCCAACACAACTGAGCTATGCTATGCAACACAACCCTCCCTGAGTTAAACTACTGTTGAGAACCCTGAGTGTTGGCCAAACTCTGAGTGACATTAAGTAGGAGACTGTAGAGAAGGGAACACATTTGCCTCTATTTTCTAGCATCGATATCTTGCACATACCATATGGTTTTAAATGTAACATATCCTAGAAACAGATCTTGTTATCAAAAGCAGATTGAAAAAAGTATGCAGACAAGTCAAAATACTTGCATTAATGAAAGCTTATGGATTACACGGGGAGCTCCAGTAGCGTAGTGCCTAAGGCATTTGACTGCTAACCAGAAGGCTGGCAGTTCAAACCCACCAGCCACTCCTTGGAAGGAAGATGGGACAATCTACTTCTGTAGTGATACTGTCTTGGAAGCCCAAGGAGGGGTTGCTATGAGTCGGGCCTGACTCAACGGCACATAACAACAACAATGAATTACATGGTGTCGAGAGAAGTCCCCAAAGGCAGAAGTACACATCATTTCTTGTTCTTCTGACTCATTTTCTCTGGAGAAGTTGCTTAGAATAATTCAGGCAAAAGGCAATGAAATAACTGCATTGGTAACAGGAATCTGGTTGGAAAAGTAGAAGGGGACCTGCTAAATTAAACTCCACCTAAGGTGTTCTCTTGGGGAGTCACACATCATGATTTTTCCTTTAGGAGGAAAACTCTATTTTCTTAAATTTTCACTTAAAGATAAAAATTCAGAGGTTAATTTAATGGTGACAAATTAGAGCAAGGGAGCTCTGGTGGCATAGTGCCTAAGGTATTTAACTGCTAACCAGAAGGCTGGCAGTTCAATCCCACCAGCCAGTCCTCGGAAGGAAGATTGAGTGAGCAATGTACTTCAGTAGAGATACCACCTCAGAAACCCAAGGAGGGGTTACTGAGAGTCCAATTGACTCTATGGCAGTGAGAGAATCAGAACAAATAGAAGCTTTGTGGCACAGTGGTTAAAATGCTCAGCTGCTAATCAAAAGTTCAGCAGTTCAACCCACCAGCTGCTCCATTGGAGCAGTCTGCTTCCATAAAGATCCACAGCCTTGGAAACCATATGGGGCAGTTCTACTCTGTCCTATAGGATTGCTCTGAGTTGGAATAGACTCAATGGCAGTGAATTTGGTTTTCGGTTTGGTTTAAGAATGATTTCTTAATTTAAAAAAATTACATAGTAAAAATACATTTTGAACTGTTGCAGTTCACAGTTATTTTTCCTGCCAAATAATGTGCTAGATACATACAGCATGGCTTGGCTATATTTGACTAAAAGTCTTATGCCCACATGAAATGATTGAGCTTAATTATGGTCACCCCAGCAGTGTCAACAATGAACTTTCCCCCCCTGTGTTTTCCTTCAGCACAGCCCAAAAAAGCCTAGCTAGTTGTAAAAACAATCAAAATGAGTAACGCTCTTCAGATGCTGCATTCAAAACTGGGTCAGAGACGACTGGGGTATGTCCTGACTGCCTAATGCACAGGGGAACAAAATGACTCAAGTGCAATCAGTGAGAGAGTGACAAGCTAAGGAAAGAAGGAAAAAAAAAAAAGGGTAGGGGGGGAAAAAACAGGTGAAGGAAGATAGCCAACAGTTACTAAGAGAGAAAATTAACTACGTGGAAAAAATATGAGTAAGCACTAATATTTACGGTAAAGGGCCTTGTGATAAGAAGAAAAAACATTTAGTTTCACTAACAGGCACAAATCTTCATAAATGCACACTTCTTTTAAAAGTCCCTGCCATCTTTACTTACCAAAAAAAAAAAAAAAAACAACTCGCTGCCATCAGGTCGATTTGACTTATGCCGACCCCTCCTTGGGTCTTGGGTTTTCGAGGCGGTATCACTACAGAAGCAGATTGCCCAATCTTTTTTCTGAGGAGTGGCTGGTGGGTTTGAACCGCCAGCCTTCTGGCTAGCAGTCAAATGCCTCAGGCACTATGCTACCAGAGCTCCATAAAAATACAACTGGGGAGAAAAAAAAAACCTCATTGCCATTGAGTGGATTCAACTCATAGCAACCCCTCCTTGGTTTCCAAGGTAAATCTCTATAGAAGTAGATTGCCCAACCTTCCTCTCAAGGAGTGGCTGGTGGGTTTCAACACCCAGCCTTCTGGTTAGCAGTCAAATGCTTTAGTGCCATGCCACCAGAGCTCCCCTAGCATCTTTGAGGGATGCTAAAATACTAACTCATTATTTTGAAAACTGGTAAATAAAGGCAACAGAATCAAGCATTTATCTAGCCATTCCTACATGAATTGTACCTCAAGGTGAGCAAATACCACTTAATGAAGCCAAGCATCTCTTTGTAGTATTTTGGCTAATGAAAAGGAATAATAGAATTAGAATATCACCATTTTGCAATGCCGTATATCAACATCAACACTTGTCACTGAGCCAATTCTAACTCATGGTGATCCCATGTGTGTCAGAGTTGAACTGTGTCCCACAGCATTTTCAATGACTGTTTTGAAAGATCGCCAGGCCTTTCTTCCAAAGTGCCTCTGGGTAGATTTGAACCACCACCTCTGGTCAGTAGCTGAGTAACAGTTTGCTTCACCAGGAATTCCTATACTAGATATTAGCTGTCTCCTAATAACACCACACACTATGACTGAAAAACAAGAATCTGATAAAACCTCTTGATCTAACTCCCAATTTACAGGAGGGAAATTAAAAAAAGAGGTCATAGAACATGTTAAATGATGACAGAATCCTGAACATAAAAACTTTATAGGAAAAAGGAACTAAACAGTCCAATCAAAAGGCAGAGATTGTTAAGTTGGAGAACAGAGCTGGTTGTTGCTTCCCCCCACCTCTTACCCAATCTTCTAAATTAGTTCTTACTGTAAACTCTTAAAGAAAAAGGTAGCCCACATCTCCTTACCTCCATTTTACAAATAAGAAAGTCAAGCTCAGAGGTTGACTTGCCTAAGTTTACTGCTAAATCAAAGGGTAGACATATTTTAAAGATCACCTGAGTGAACCTTCTATGAATAAAGTGAAGTAACAACTATTTGTTCCCTTGAAAGTAAACTTTTCCCAATTTGTTCAAATGTACAAGGCAATTATTTAAAGGGTACTGGCTCCCCAGTTAAGAATTAAGTTTCATTTTCACAGACTCCCTAAAATGCCATATTCATATGTCAGGTTGGACCTAAGAGAATAAAGTTACAAATGTTCAGCCTGTGTCCAAACAGCATCCTCGAAGGAAAATCCTTGATGGATTCGTTGGCAAACTCAGTGTTGACTATATTCCTGGTTTTCCTTAAAAACCTATCAACTTGTAGTTTAGAAACAAACTTCAAAGTAGAAACTGCAGAAAGTATGCAGATTTATTCTTCCATTGTGCAAAACATGGACTTTACAGATGGTTTCACTGCTGAATTTAGAGGACAAATCTCAGGGTAAAACGACTTTGTTCTTTGGCTTGAACTGAAATAGGTTTAAAAATAAATATGCAATTCAAATATGCAAGGGCTGGTTATTTAGATATTTCATCTGTTTTATTTACACCCTTCTCTGTGATCCAATGAAACATATTTCCCTTTTGGTACACGGGAGACCATTTTACTAAGGCTAATGGTGGTTTTATCTAGGAAAAAAACAACAAACTACATGCACACCAAGGAGCTCTGGTAGTATAGTGCCTAAGGCACTGGACTGCTAAACAGAGCGCTGGCGGTTCAAACCCACCAGCAACTCCTCGGAAGGAAGGTTAGGCAATCTACTTCCGTAGTGATACTGCCTTGGAAACCCAAGGAGGGGTCTCTATGAGCCCGGTCCAACTTGAGGGCACATAACAACAACAACACGCACACCAAGGATTATTTTTAAGCTTCTTGGCAAAACACAAATGGGAGGAAAAATGATTTGATTTTTTAGTTCTAATTTTAAATTTTTTACATAAGGTCAATGTTGTAAAATCTGTTCAGATTTTTCTAGAACCTGGGTGAATGAAAAATGCTAAGCTAAAATAAATCATTACTCTATTTAAAGTAAACCATCTTGCAAGATTTTTTGCAAATCACATGACCTTTATTTAAAATGAAAAGAATAAACACATGCTCTCCCCAGAAAATAGGCCAGTGGGCTCCTCTAGCAGGTAGTCCAGTAAGCCTCCTACACAGACTCAAAGAGGCTCTCTGGTGTCCACCAATGCTGTCTGCATACCTGTCGTGGACATTCAGAGAAACAGGGGCTCTAAACAACTATAAGAAACAGGACTGATCTGACCATTATATTTCCCATAAGCTTTAAAGAAACTATCAAATAATGACAGCTCAATTACCCGGTGTAGCTTATTTTTATTCTGAATCAATAAACCTAGACGTAAAGGTCTCCACAGCCCATTATGCCTTAACTGATCCATCTAGTTCTCCATGACCACCTACTAAAGTAAGGTATTGAGGTAATATGTGTTAAGATATATGAGTGCTTCTAAAAATAATTTGTAGTAGAGACTGGCATGAAACCCAAGTTCAGATGTGCTTAAGTACTGAGTTGAAACTCAAGTATGAAGAGGTCTTTTGAATGTACAACTGATTTTTAGCAAGTATAAAGTATCAAGGCCTTCATTTTTATTTTATAAAAGTGGCATAACTTGCATGAGTATCTAAAAGTGGCTGAAAAGCCAAAACTAAATGGTTTTTATTCTTAAGCCTAAAAATAACCAGGGAATAGAGCAAAATTTGAACATTTCAGTAGAAAGGTGATAAACAGAAAGTTAAGCAGGTAAACTTGCTGAAGAATGAAGAAACCCTCTGCAACGGCTTTTGCTGACTTCACTTCAGAGTGGAAAATTCAAACTCTATAAAAGTTGAAAAACAAACTATGCAGTTAGGTATGTAAATCACCCCAAAAGATCTCATGGCTACAAAAGTTGCCATGAGGGTCTTCTGAACTGTTAAAACTTGATGCTCTGCTAGCACTCGGATTCACCTTCAGTTTTAAGAATTGATAGAAATTTCTTACCATGATCTTAATTTTGGCATAAAAATAATAATTTATAAATTAGAATCACAAAACTAATAGCTCCATATTAATTTTCTAATTTATGAGAGAAAAATATAGTCATTAATTCTAAAAAGGCCGTTTAAAATCTTACCCCAATTACTCTTCTAAGAAGAAGGGGAAGAGAGTGGGTGGTTGGAATTGCAGTAGAACGCAATGTTTAGAACACAATATAAAACATCTGGAAACAAAGATCAAAGGCCAATAAATATTTCATCTTAACTATCATGAAACACAGGAAAATAGTGGAAAATACTGAAACTTTTCTGCCATACCACGGAAATAAATACACAGTAGGCACGATCATTTCCTGGATTACTCTTTGGATACTTAATTCAATTGGCCTTAATTGATTATAAAGTGTGCAAGACAATTAGGGAGAAGTTGTCTTTAATTCAGCTTTGAAAGAAGCATGAATGGATATAAACTCTAATCACAGACTACTTGAATCATTAGAGCAATTCAGAATGCAGTTGCCAGTCTTAAAAACCTTTCATACAAATAACCTGCTAACCTTTGGACCCAGGTTTCAGACTTGCAAAAACTTTGGGGTTCTTAAGTGCAAGTGAGAGCTCATTGAGGAAGGAAATAAAGTGGGAGTCTCTCTCAGATTTCTTTGACTCAAAAATGACAACAATGGTAAAGTGAGGTTCTGGGCGGGTCAGGAAGTAGGTGCTCTGGACTTTGTCATCATAGAAATGGACTACTTTCTCCAAGCTGTTCAGGTCAGATGTGCGGTCTGTCATGATCATGATGACATTTGGCCAGTGCATAACAGGTCTGTCACTGGGCAGAGACACCACAGCTGGGTACTGGTCCACACCCTTAGGGGCCTCTCGGTAGGAATGGGGGTGGTGATAACCATGACCCTGAAAACTCTCTGAACCTCGGTTGTCAAAAATTAAGGACACATTGGCAGCATCATATTTCCTGATGAAACTGGAAATCTTTCCAAAAAGGTCTGGATTAGCTTTTGCAGTCAACGTTTTCATTTCTGAAGCAGTCGTTTGTCGGCTCAATGCCTCATGGAAGTAAAAGCTAAACTTGGCAAGCAGCATGTTTTTGAGTTTCATCAGCCAAAGGAAAAGGTGTGGGGGCTGAACAGCCTTCTGAGACTGCCCTCCAAACAGATGTTTCTTGGTCTCTCGTTGCTTCTCAAAGATCTGGCCCCAGGTCTGCAGCTTGGTGTGGGCACTGTGTAAGTTAACCAGAGACGGGAGAAACTTCCACTCTGAGACCTGAGACTGGGCCTTCAAGAGATGACCGAGGACATCAACCTCCAGCTGGAAACTGCTCTCCAAGGGGCTGAGAATTGGATGGTGAAATCTAAAGGAGGAATGGAAATTGATAGAAGTAAGTGGAAATGTTACTCCACATTGATATTTTCCACTCCCCCACAAAGAATGTGGTCAGACAAATGTTATACATGGAAAACAGGGGCAAAAAAGATGAAAAAATACCATGTTGATTATTAAAAAATTTATTCTGAAATAATTTCATTATTTCAAGATTATGTAAACATAAATTATCCTGTGGAAACAGCCTAAAGTAAAAAACACAAAACAGAATAATGACTATCTTCTTTTCAAATGAAGAAAAATTAAATTAGCCAGTAATTCTTTCTTATTTTATTTTTTCTTGGTATTTGACTAACCTTATAATTTAAAGAAAGGAGTTTTGGTGGCACAGTGGATAAGTCATTTAGCTGCTAAAAGAAGGTCAGTGGTTCAAACCCACCAGCCACTCCATGGAAGGAAGATGGTACAATCTACTTCCGTAAAGATTTACAGCCTTGGAAACCCAATGGGGGGTGCTATGAGTTGGAATTGACTTGATGGCAGTTGAGTTTGGTTTTAGTTTTTTGGCATCATTTAAAGAAGGAACCTTCTTTACGGAGTTCAGTGCTGAAGAGGCAGAAATAAAGAAAAGATCACTAACAGAACTCTGTAATAATACATGTAATACCTCATTTCATCTTCAAAGTAACTCTATAAAGTATTATCAAACTTACTTTGCAGATAAGAGTACAGACTATAAAACCAAATTTGAAACATAGTATATAATCAAAAAAACCACCAAAACCAAACACACTGCCATCAAGTTGGATCTGACTCATAGCGACCCCTCCTTGGGCTTCTGAGGGGTATCACTACAGAAGTAGGTTGCCCCATCTTCCTTCCTAGGAGTGGCTGGTGGGTTTGAACTGCCAGCCTTCTGGTTAGCAAATGCCTTAGGCACTACGCCACCAAAGCTCCTAGTATATAATCAATAAATGATTATTAGAGGAATATAAAATTTACCCAAAAGCCACTATCCAGTCCTGGTTCCCAATTTTTCTTCATATTTATTCACAGTTAAAAACAAAATGGTAACCAGATAATAAATATCTAACACCTTCTACTGTTTTTTTGGATAAAATCCAAAATTCTTAAAAAGACCTATGAGATTTTGAGAGACCAGTCCTTACGCATCTTGAGTCACATTCTCATTTTCACTTTTTCCAGATATTACATAATTAGAAACATGATATTACAAAGAAGGTCAAGGTAAGTAGAGCAACCGCAGTTCCACTTGTTCTAGACAAAGTATTTTTACTTGATCATGAGCTACAGTAAGAAATATAGTTTATACTATGACCAAGTATGTACATACATACACATAAATTGAAGTTTTATTTTATTTCAAATTTATACTTACTATGCACAATGTCCACCACTTGTTTATTTACAGAACACATAAAGATTGATAACATAGGCATTAGTGAGCTGAAATGGACTGGTATTGGCCATTTTGAATCAGACAATCGTATGCCAGGAATGACAAATTGAAGAGGAATGGCTTCACATTTATCATCAAAAAGAGTATTTCAAGTGGAGCTCTGGTAGCATAGTGGCTAAAGCACTTGACTGCTAACCAGAAGGCTGGCGGTTCAAACCCACCAGCCACTCCTCGGAAGGAAGGTTGGGCAATCCTACTTCCGTAGTGATACTGCCTCGGAAACCCAAGGAGGGGTCGCTATGAGTCGGGGCCGACTCGACGGCACATAACAACAACAACAGCAACATCCTGAAGTATAAGTCTGTCAGTGATAGGATAATATCCATACACCTACAAGGAAGACCAGTTAATATGACTACTGATCAAACCTACACACCAACCACTAAAGCCAAATATGAAGAAACTAAAGATTATTACCAACTTCCGCAGTTTGAAATTAACCAAACATGCAATTGAGATGTATTGATAATTGTTGGTGACTAGAATGCAAAAACTGCAAATAAAGAAGTAGCACTGAAAGTTGGAAAATATGGCCTTGGTGAAAGAAATGACACTGAAGACTGCATGACAGAATTTTACAAGACCGACGACTTATTCATTGCAAATACCTTTTCCAGCAACATAAAACAGCAACTATACACATGAATCTCGCCAGATGGAATACAGAGAAATCAAATCAACTACATCTGTGGAAAGAGGTGATAGAGAAACTCAATATTTATCAGTCAAAACAGGGCCAGGAGCTGACTATGGAACAGACAGACCATCAATTGCTCGTATGCAAGTTCAAGTTGAAGCTGGAGAAAATTTTAAAAAGTCCATGAGAGCCAAAATGTGACCTTGAGTATATCCCACCTGAATATAGAGACCATTTGAAGAATACATTTGACACATTCACCAACAATGACTGAAGACCAGACAAATTATGGGAGGACATCAAGGACATGACATATGAAGAAAGTATTAAAAAGACAGGAAAGGAAGAAAAGGCCAAAATGGAACTCAGATGAGACTCTGAAACTTGCTCTCAAATGAAGCTAAAGTGAATGGAAGACATGATGAAATAAAAGAGCTGAATAGAAGATTTCAAAGGGTAGCTCAAGAAGATAAAGTAAATATTATAATGAAATGTGCAAAGACCTACAACTAGAAAACCAAAAGGAAAGAACAGGTTTGGCGTTTCTCAAGCTAAAAGAACTGAAGAAAAAATTCTAGCCTCAAATTGCAAAACTGAAATATTCTATGGGCACAATATTGAATGGTGCAGGAAGCATCAATAGAAGATAGAAGGAATATACAGAGTCACTGTATCAAATAGAATTGGTCGACATTTAACCATTTCAGGCAGCAGCGTATGATCAAAAATCAATGGTACTGAACAAAAAATTCCAAGCTGCACTGAAGGCACTGGCTAAAAACAAGGCTCCAGGAATTGATGGAATACACACTGAGATGTTTCAACAAATACATGCTGCACTGGAGATGCTTACAAGTTTATCCCAAGAAATTTGGAAAACTGCTACCTGACCAACCACCTGGAAGAGATCCATATTTATGCCCATTCAAAGGAAAGGTGATCCAACAAAATGTGGAGATTATCAAACAGTATTATTAACATTACATGTAAATAGTACTTTGCTGAAGATAATCCAAAATTCATTGCAGTAATACACTGGCAAGGAACTGTCAAAAATTCAAGCTGGATTCAGAAGAGGGTGTGGAAGGAGGGATATTACTGCTGATGTCAGACAGATCTTGGCTGAAACCAAAGAATACCAAAAAGATGTTTACCTGTGTTTTCTTTACTATGCAAAGGCATTCAACTGTGTAGATATTAACAAATGATGGATAATATTGTGAAGAACAGGAATTCCATAACACTTAATTGTACTCATGAGGAACCTGTACATGGACGAAAAGGCTGTCATTCAAATAGAACAAGGGGATACTGCATGGTTTAAGATTAGGAAAGGTATGTGTAGGACTGTATCCTTTCACCATAATTATTTAATTTGTATGCTGAGCAAATAATCCAAGAAGCTAGACTATATGAAGAAGAGTGTGACATTAGGATTGGAAGAAGACTCAGCTAGCAACTGAGATATGCAGATGATACAACCTTGCTTGCTGAAAGTGAAGAAGACTTGAAGCACTTAGTGATGAAGATCAAAGAGTACAGTCTTCAGTATGGATTACATGTCAACAAAAAGAAAACAAGTATCTTCATTCCCTACTGACCAATGACCAACATCACAATAAATGGAGAAAAAATTGAAGTTGTCAAGGATTTCACTGTACCTGGATCCACAATCAACACCCATGAAAGCAGCAATCAAGAAATCAGATGATGTTTTACACTGGGCATATATGCTCCAAAGACCTTTTTAAAGTGTTATAGAGTAAAAATGTTTCTTAGACTATGGTACACGTCACTCAAGCTATAGTATTTTCAATCACCTCATATGCATGTGAAAACTGGACAATAAGGAAGACCAAAAAGAACTGATGCACTTGATTGTGGTGTTGGTGAAGAATACTGAAAATATCACACCAGAAGAATGAACAAATCTGTCTTGGAAGAAGTACAGCTGGAATGCTCCTTAGAAGTGAGAATGGCCAGACTGCATTTCACGTACTTTGGACATGTTGTCAGAAGAGACCAGTCCCTGGAGAAGGATATTATGCTTAGTAAATTAGAAGGTCAGTGAAAAAGGAGAAGACCTTCAACAAGATGGACTGACACAACTGGCTACAACAATGGGCTGAAGCATAGCAAATACTGTCATGATGATGCAGGACTGGGCAGTCTTTCATTCTGTTGTACACAGGGTTGTAATGAGCCGGAACCAACTCAACGGCATCTAACAACAACATCATCATTAGAATGTCCAACCTAGTATGGGCTCTCATAATCATAATTCTTTAATTAGTCCTTAAATAGATTTTTGTTGGAAACAAAGAAGAATCACCAGTAGTTGGAAAATATGGCCTTGGTGATAAAAATGGCATCAGAGATCTCTGCATGACAGAATTTTGCAAGGCCAATGACTTATTCATTGCAAATATCTTTTTTCAACAACATAAACAGTAGCTATACACATGGACGCGGTCAGATGAAATACACAGGAATCAGAACGACTACATCTGTGTAAGAGGCAATGGAGAAGCTCAGTAACTTCAGCCAAAACAAAGCCAGGAGGTAACTGTGGAACAGACCATCCATTGTTCACATCCAACTTCAAGTTGAAGCTGAAGAAAATTAAAACAAATCTATGAGGGCCAAAATATATCCTTGATTATATCCCACCTGAATTTAGAGATCATCTGAAAAACACCAATGACTGAAGACCAGATGAGTGGTGGGATGACATCAAGAATATCATACATGAAGAAAGCAAAAGGTCAATAAAAAAAAGGAAAGAAAGAAAACATGAAAATGGGTATCAGAAGAGACTCTGAAACTTTCTCTTGAACATAGAGTAGCTAAAGCCAATGGAAGCTATGATGAAGTAAAGAGCTGAAAAGAAAAGACTTCAAAGGGTGGCATG